TGCTAAATCTGGTCATGCATAGTCTTCAAAAATAGGTTTCATTTATTTTCAAAATACTTTCCATTTCAGTAGGTTTCCATGAAGTGAAAACATTTACCATAATGGATGAATTTCATGAGGGAACTGTTTAACAGTGTCCTAAATGAATAGAGTAAACGCATTGCAAAGATATAGTAAAAAGACGTAAGCCTCTTTCAAAAAAAAAAAGTGCTAAAATTTAAAGCCAAGCCTCATTCTGCAAATTGGACAGTATCCCAGGTATTTTGCCTAAGAGTGAGTGAGGGCCGCAGAGAAGTCAGAGACGAAAGAAAAATCTGCAGTAGAGTTAGCTGGATTAGACTCAGCTAGACTAGGTCTGGTTATAAAAGCAAGACCACCATGACCAGGGGAGTTTACAGTGAAACTGACACACAGGCCAGGAGCTGTGGTGTTGCCAAGGTAGAACCCATATTGATGTACGGTGCCTGGAGGCAAGACAGAGAATGGGAGAACCAGAAACTAATGACTCATTTCAAACATGAGACCACAAGATGAAGCAAAAGCCAACTTGAGCAAGAAGAAACGGGAAGGAAGAGAGTGAGAAGCACCAGCCAGAGCATGTGCATGAAACTAAGTTAGACATTTGTAAGTTTTCTGACTCATGAAGCCAGGGATGAGATAAAACTTCAGGCGGCAAGTCATGGGGTATTTTATTTTGATTTGAATATAAGTAGTCATCACAATCAATGAATACAATTGGTCATTCTCATCAGTTTGTATGTACAGACCCTTAAAAATGTTAGGTGCTCCATATACAGCTGTAAGAATGAATGAGGAAGATCTCTATTACTGACATGGAGTAATTTTCAGGTTGGATTTCTAAGTGCAAAAGGCAAGTACAAAAGAATATAGCATACAGCCTTTCATAAAGAAAGACAAGTAAGAAAATATCAATATATCTGCTCATTAGTGGAAAAAGTAATTCAGGTAAAAAAATTCAGAAACAAATGAGATGGGTTACCTCTGGGGTGGTGGGAATAGAGTGGAAAGGATGGGGGAATGAGAACGGGAGTGGATCAGAAAAGAAGGAGAGGAAGAGAAACTTCTTTGAGTGTACCTGTATGTATAGTTCTGCATCTTAGAATCATAGCAATATTTTATAAACAGAAGCAATAAATAATTAAATTCAAACTGGATATAGGGGAAGGACTGAAAATGGAATACAAAAATAACAAATAAACCTAATCCTATTACAAATGAATAAATAGTCCCACTGCAGGGGTCAGAGAAAAATAGACTAAATAACTCCATAAAAAAAAAAAAAAGTATTTTCACAAGATACTATAAGCCTAAAGAAAAAAAGAACTATACACAAATATAATGCTTCAGTTGGTAAATTTGATTTCACTGGAGTATGAATTAGCAATTCTGTGACTATCGTATGTCAGTGTATCCGATAGTAATGGATTGTGGATAATGAGACACAGATTTCTCACTACCAGAGAAAGGAGTTACAAATAAGGAAAGGAGAAGGCTAGAATGAACAAGGTGATGTTAGATTGGAATTGGAAATATCAGTTGGAACTGATGGATTTTATTAGAAATAATGTGAATTGTTAGGAAATAGATGTAGATGTATATATACAAGGGTTACTATACATACAAATATTTTCTAGCTGTATTCACTGAGATGGCATAACAGCAATGACGTCCCAGTAGCAATGAGAACACTCTATGCCTAGATCTTGGTTTCTATAAACAATTCCCCAAAAGAAACAAAAACACTTGAAAAATTACTGATTCTAGGGCTGGGAAATTACTGAGGAAGTACAAGATGAGCTTGGAATATCTTAGAGTTCTGAAAAATAAGGAAGTGTTAAAACAAAAAAAGGATGAGGGTCACAAAAGCCAACTTAAAGATGTTTCCAAAAGCTGAAGCTGAGACAAGTTAAGGAAAAAAACTAAACAGTAACAAGCAATGGATAATAGCACATCAAATAAAATAAATCTCCATGAGTCTATAGTGATATAAGTAAGTAATTAAATACATAAACAAATAAATGGGGTAAAAGGGGTAGCTCTTCCTTATACTAGGATTGCAATTAATAAATGTAGGAGGAATGATAGCAATTTGCCATTTGGTGAACATTTTAGTAATAGGTACTGTAGGCAGGAGTCATCAACTAATGCTAAAATTACTGGGTCAAAGTATGATGAGAAACAAAATATTTGCATAGTCTCAAAGTATCTCTTACGACATATTTACTACTTTCAAAAGAAAAATTTGAAATTTTACAATGGAGAAACCTGGCAAACATCTCTAATTGACATTGCCAAAAACAAGACATAGCATCAATTCCTGAACATTTTCCTAAACTCTGTGGCCATTTATCTGAAAACTTAGAAAACACCACTTCCTATGTGAGAAAACATAGAAACACTACTTCTGTTGGAGTGATTTTCCTCCTTCTGACTTTTCAGGCACAGTATTTCATAAAATGTACCCTGTGCAACTAAATAATGCTATGGACCTCCTTGTAGTTTCAAGTCTGATGACAAGGAAACTGTCTGGTTTAATGTCTCCTGAGCTTATTGGAAGACTCTAGCATGGGAGCTGAGCTTGACAGTTTTGACCAAATGACAGTCCTTCTCTATTTAGTGACAGAGATAATCTGATCAACTGAATGGACCTTGACTGCCACTGGGGTGATAGATGTTACACCTGTTTTTCTTGTATCACTTATATCACAGCTTCAAAGGTTAAGTAAGAGAACTTAACCCCTGCCTGTACAAAGTTTCTGGACATCTAGGATATTCCTCACCACAGCCACGAGCCAAACAGATGCTACCTCTCAGATGTAGCATCTACTTTGATTATACCACTAGCCGTAACTATTGCCTACAATGGAAAAATGTATTTCGCAAAAATTATTCAGTAGAGTGCTGGTTTTGAGGGATGTTAAATGGTGTTCAGTAAAGGGACAGGGGAGGGGCTTTCGTTTGAATATATACCCATAAGGTATATTTTATATATATAAAAAGGTAAAAAAGGTATTTGACTGGTAAAAAAGGTAAAAGGTATTTGACTGTCACCATAAAAACAAACCACACCAAGTTTAAACTTCTATCTCTAATAGTGAATTCTTACTTCAGATATCTAAATAAAGACGTAATTCCTGAAGATTATATCTGATCTCATTAAACAAGGAATTGGTTAAATTTAGGGAAAACCGAGTTAAAATTTTATCTTTAACACATGAATTTGCAAAGTTTGAATTGTCTTCAATGTATTTTCAAGAGGGAAGAAATGGTGTACAGCTTTTCACAAACTTATTCGACCGTCTCACACCACCACCTGCCCTTTTTCCCAGAATTTTTTTAAGGACTAGCATTTCCTGAAACACTTTTGGGAAACAGTATTTTAAGTAACAATAAATTAGTCACAAAGCAATCTTCAACTATAATAAGTAACAATGGAAAAATAACGTCTTTGTGCTTACAGTTGTGCTTAGAAATTAAAGTGTACACTTAGATATCAATAAAAAATCAAATGATAAAAAAATATTAAAATGCCAAATGGTTCAGATGATCGTTTCCACAGGGTGTATCAACATAGGTTAGAATCAGTAGAGGAGGCAAAGGAGCAGAGCCTGGAGCTGAGCTGTGATGTGTGAGTAGGTTTTGTATAGGTAGAGAGCAGAACTGCACAGAGTGTTCCACACAGAGTAGGTGTTTATTAAGAGCTTGTTAATTAACCAGCTAGCCTGAACTGTATGGCCCTAAGAGGAAGCATGGCCTGGCTCAAACTGGAGAGGAGCCACGAGTAAACTTTCCATCTGGCAGTGATGCAATGGAGGTGCCTCTGCAGAAAAATCATTAGAGGAGGAGATGGCACAAGCACTTTATCTAGCAACCTGCAGTGAGACCATTCAGGCTGTTATGCTTGTCCTAGAATTCTTCCTCCAGAGATGAAAACTTGGCTGAAATGGTAGAGGGCTTGAGGGTACAGTATATCATCTCCATCGGTCTCAAAGAGCATATATTAGTATCTCCCTCCTGAGGAAGAACTAGCCCATTAAGTTATGACTGTATCATCACTCCCTACACTCACTTTCCACTCAATCAAAAATACTGGCTAAGCAAGGTCGTAGAAGCAAGGCACTACGACAAGTATGGTAATGTGGAAGGTCGGAATACTTATATCAACTTATCTGGAATGAAGGGAGCCAATATAAACCTTGTTAAAGCCTTCTTAAGTGGATGATTCATATCTTATCCATCTATGTATTACACTGCCACACAACGAACATAGTGTATGCTCAGTAAACAACTAACTTTACCTAGCTAGAACATGATTTAAAGATGTCAGTGTCTAAGGCCTAATCACATAATCATGTCATGTATTGATATTTAGAGTAGCTTTCTTTTTCTTAAAGAATCCCACCTTTCTGATAAGATAGGCAAGTAATCTGCATTAAAATTCAATACTGCCACAAGTTGCCACCATACTTACGAAAAGACCTGCCTTTGATTCACAAATGACTTGGAATTTCCTTGAAGATACTTTGATACATGCCTTATGATGCCAGATTTTACAATAACCTTTTATTTTTAAATGCAATGACATGAAAAGATAAAATCTCCACATAATAAGTGGTCTTGATAAAAATGCAAATTGATAAAACCATCAAGTTGTCTCCTTTACTCTTGATTCTTAACTCAGGTACCTACATACAGATACAAATTCCTAAATATTACATCTGATTGCATTAGACAAAGGATGGGTAATCTAAAGATGATTCCCTTTGACCCTTTCTAAAGCTGCATGCATTTATTGAGCATCCTCTATAATTTTTGATGTATCTAGTATTGTCAGTTATAAGATATTATTGAATATTTATGAATAACTTATTTTGGATATACCCTTTCACAAATCTTAGGTCCTTCATTATCAATAAACAAACCTGCTGAAATAAGGACTTTTCATTAAAAGTGAGAATTGAGTGGTATAAATTACTTACTCATTCTTTGTCCAGATCCTTCTATGAGAGCAGGGACCTTGTTTATCTTCTTGAACACTGAATCCCATCTCCTAGGGTACAAGTAAAATAAATTTTACTTCAATGTATAAATGAATGAACGAACTAATAAATAAGTAAGTTGCACCACGGAAACATGGATGTGTAACCTAGCAGGACCCTATGAGGCCTTCCCAGGACAGATACCTCCCCCATATCGTCTGCTGTAGCTCCTCTCTGAAGTACGTAGGTAATAGTATCTGCACACTTCCTGAGTTGTTTTACAGATGCTAAATCCACCACCAAATGGAAGAAATTAACTACTTGATGATCATGAGCCCCCAGACCTACCGGCTTCTAAGGATTGATAATATTAACTGCCCTGTTACCTCACCATCAACCAATCAGAGAATTGTGTGTGAGCCGATCACATACCCTGGGACACTCCTTCCCCCCTCACCTGGCTTTTAAAAATGCTTTGCTGAAACCCTTCGGGGAGTTCCGGGTATTTTGAGCATGAGACACCCATCTCCTTGCATGGCCCTGCAATAAACCTTTGCCTGCTCCAAACTGACATTTTTGTTTGGCCTCTCTGTGCGTCAGGCACACGAATTTACGTTCAGTAACAGGTACTTTAAATGGAAAGGTACCTGCGATTTTCAAGGGTTCTCTGATTAGGTCCCTTGACCATCTCTGGCAGATATGGGAAAAATTAGGAGAACTTTTTAGCATCTCCTCAGTGTTGCCCTGTGCCCCAAATAGGTTCCATTTCCAGAAGAACCAAATACAGTCAGGATCTTTAAAAGCTATAAGGAGAAGCTGTTCACACTATGTGGGTCAGGACTGAGAGCTTCGTGCTGTTTTAATTCTGCCAATCTCTAAAGCACTTGGTTAGGACAATATAACAATGGATTCTTTCCAGATGCTACTAGCCTAGGGACCAGAGAACTCTATCTACAGTGTTCACTGTTTGACTCCAGTCTTTGAAGTCTTCTCGGAAACTGTGTCTTAAAACTGTACACAAGCTCCAAGCCTCCCTCTTTTATTACTTTTTTTGTTCAGAGCCTGAGCTATCACCACCCAATCAAGTTCTTGCCTTATTTGTGTTTAATGCTTTCAACTTAGCCTTCACTAAGATCCTTTAACCTATACTCTATAGCCCACACAAGAGCCCAGTTTGCTCTGTCTTAGGAAGGAAGGAAAGAAGGAAGGAAGGACATTGGAATCCAGAGAGCAGCATCGGCTCCCTCAGTCACAGCCCCTTCCTCTTCAGGAGCACCCCCTGCCTCCAAAGCTAGAGACCACTCTGGAAGGTTTCCTAGGCCCTGGGACCTGGCCAGCCAAAAAAATAAAGTGAGAAGACAAACAGGACATCAGAATCCAGACATTAAAACTGTACTTCTTTGGGTTAAGCACACATTCTCCAGAAAATTTTATTTAAATCCAAATAGCACAAGGAATCCTCAAGATGGAAAAAAAAAAAAAAAATCATTATACCTTTATTTGAAAGAATTGATCAATCATAAAGCTTTCCTTCAAGGAAGAAAGCAACTAACATGGGAATGGATTATTGGGCATCCAGAAGGAAGAGACCCTAGAAGAGAAATGAAAAAGGCACAGGAAGAGAGACAACAGGACTCCAAAACCGAACTTTGCTTATCATACGTTTTTCCCTGAGTCTGTATATGTGCAGAATTTGATGCACCTGAAGCCTTTAGAAGATTCTAGCAAATCTTTTAAGCCCCAACTCTATTCCAAGCAAAGTTTATAGACTTAAAAGTACAATACTTAATTTTATTTGGAGCACAGGAAGATAGACAGACCTTTAACGGTTCTATTTGTGATAATAATCTGGAAAAAAGAAACAATATTGTGCCATATTTGTATTTTTTATGAAGTCTTACTAAAGGATGAGTCAAATAATATAAAACTCTTTTTCATATATTTTTCTGCCTCCTGATATATAAAACTCTACTAAAGACAGCGAATTCACCTCTACCACAGAAAATATGACTTTTCATAACCGCAAAAAAATAGTACACACATCATTTACAACTAAAATGGGCAAATCTTTATATGAGCAATAAATATAATAAACATGTTTAAATGTAAATTTAAAACACAAACCTCAGACAATGAGCCTACATGAACACTCTGATATTTAGACATTTGTCAGGCAGCCTTTTTCTGTTTTGACAGCTAAATGAATGTTATATACAGAGGGACTCTCTTTGGAAGATAGACTTCCTTGCCTGGTTTCCTTCACTCTGAATACAACAGTAAGACATTTCAGTGTGTGGGAAGCATCCATGGTACAGAGAGTTGGAAAACATTCAGGCTTGAAGTACCAAAACAGTCAAATACTTGCAAAATCCAATATGCTCATCCATAATGATTCCTTCTCTATTTAAATCACATTTTCAAAGCCTAAGACAATCCAACCTGCAGTATTAACAAAAGCCTCTTGCTTTTGACCATCTTAAAGATGAGCTTAAAAAGAAGGAATATGTAATCTAAGTGTTAACAATTTTCAGTTCTAGGAGGTGTCTTTTTTCCAGTGCTCAGACAGGAGACAAAAATTAACTGCAATCATCTTTACATCATCTGTAGTCTTTGTTCTCTCTCTCTCTTTTTTTTTTTTTAAGTTCCTGCTTTGTATAAAACTATTGATATTAATATAAGAGGAGAAACCAGCAATGCAACTTTCTGCATAAAAGAAATTATTCCCAGAATCTTGGCTTTAATTTGATTAATAGTCTTAGCATGGGTTTCATTATATCCAGCTGGAAATTATCTTTGAGATCTTTGGATATGACTGTGTGTGAATTTTAAATTTTTGAAAACAAAAATAACAATATTGTTGATGATTCATCATTTATGGCAAAACCTTGACAATTTTTTCCTTTCATAGTTTTTAGGAAACCAGGGCTGTAAACAAGTATATCTTTTTCTCCCATACTCTGCTCATACTGTGCTTTAGAGGAGAGCTTGTTTGAATTATTCTACCCTAAGAGAAGTGTATTTAAATTATCTTCTTTCACTTTTGATTATGTCTAGTGACTTAATTAACGGAATGAATATTTTTGAGTAGTGCAGAGTAAGTATTTAGAAGAAAGGAGAAACATAAGGAAAGTGAGAAACGAGAAATATTAACACTCTGGCAATATTAATTTTGTTAGCACTATGCCAGAAAACATTCTAATACACTGGACAAATATTAGAGCTCTTATAAAGAGTGTGAGGGAAAACTCATAATGAAATCTGGAATGTGTTTTAGTTTTAGAATTTGACTGAATTTCTAAACATAATGGACATTGCAAATATCATGATGAAAATTTCTGTCAAATCTGACCAAATAAAGTAAACCCATTAAGACTTGTGGGTAGAGTAAAAAGACCATAATTTAAAAAAGAATTATTTCCTGCTTAAAAAAGTACATTCACAATAAGCTCCTTTCAAAGCATTTGAGAATTTAGAAAATAAAAGCGTACAAGCCCCAATATTCTAACTGGAGTAAGGTCTTTATAGAGCATTATATATAATCTTTTATAACCTATATTTTTTAAATGGTTATAAATAAGAACGAGAAAAAACTAGTTCTTAAAAGATATGAGAATGCAAATGATCTCCTAGGTGACAGTACTAAACATAGTCACTTGCTTTCCATCTAAGTCATAACTTTTCACTCTTTTCACACATACGCTTAAAATGTCTACACTTCTTATTTCATTTAGATATTTCTTTAAAAGATGCAGCCAATCTAAGTATAGCCATAAGATATAAAGCACTGTAATGAATATATGACAATGACAAATAGAAAACAGAGCCAAAAGACTTAAGTAGATACTTTATAAAAGAGGATATCTAAAAGGCCAATAATCATATGAAAAGTTGGTAAACTTCATTGGTAATCACTGAAATGCCAATTATAACACTTTGGTATTACTATAAATAAACCTTACAGAATGTCTAAAATGAAAAAGACAGATATCACCAAGTTTCAGCCAAGATATGTGTAAATTAGTACAACATTTTGGGAAAGTTTTTGGCAGTATCTTCTGAAGCTGAACAACAATACTCTGTGAGCCAGCAATTATCACTCTAGATGTATAACTATCAGAACTTCATTCTACACACAAAGACATAAAAAATAATATTCACAGCAGCACTATTAGTAATAGACTCAACTGGAATCTTCCAAAATGCCTATCAATCACAGAACAAGTATATAAATTGTGGCATATTCACACGATTAAAGGTTATACAGCAATGAAAATGAAGGAACTACAATATGCAACAATGTAAGTGAATTTCACAAATGATATTGAACTAAAGAAATCAGACATAGGAGTACATATTGTATGACTCTATTTATATAAAGTTCAAAACCAGGTAAACCTAATCTGTGATTTTAGAAGTCAGAATAGGGACTGTGAGGGATAGTGATGGGAGGAGGCACAAGAGGCTTGCTGGGGCACTGATTATGTTCTGTTTTTTTATCTGAGTACTAGTAACAAGAGTGTGTACACACAAAACTTTATCAAAACATATACTTACTGGCTTCCCTGGTGGCGCAGTGGTTGAGAGTCCACCTGCCGATGCAGGGGACACGGGTTCGTGCCCCGGTCCGGGAAGATCCCACATGCCGCGGAGCGGCTGGGCCCGTGAGCCATGGCCGCTGAGCCTGCGTGTCCGGACCCTGCGCGTCCGGAGCCTGTGCTCCGCAACGGGAGAGGCCACAACAGTGAGAGGCTCGCGTACCGCAAAAAACCCCACAAAAAACAAAACAAAACAAAAACCCATATACTTACAATTTGAGGGGAAGGAAAGTTATCTTCAATAAAAACTTTACATTGAAAAGTAATTATCATAAGTGCCCAGAGGAGGATTTATGCCTGGAAGGGATCTAGTTATGTGTTTAAACTGAATTGCGTATTTGAAATTTTTTTAAAAATTTTTAATCCTTTAGCTTTATTTTACTCTCTTTCAACTCTGACTTCTTTTTATTGTTTTCATGTGACTAGAGTTGTTGAGGGCATTTTGAGGTCCAGCTAAATGGAAGTTGAGTTGCAGC